CAAATCAAAAACAGAAATTGGATCTAACGCTTACTGAATTTAATTGAATGAAAAGGAATAATTGACCTATAATCGGACAAAATTGCTTTGCCTTTATCTGGAGCAACCTCAGCTATTGTGCCTATTCCAGACGTTTGTTATCCTGCTCATTTTCCTGGCCCCTATGTGCCGGTAGATCTTAGTTTGTACTAGTTGGCGTGTTTTGCGCCAACTGCAAAACCCCCTCAGTCTGTCTCATCTTCTCAAGGATGCACTTAACAGATGGTCTTGCGCTAAATTCTCTGAGGGTTAATGCTAGGATTAGGATTACTTTTGGACTTTGGATTAGGACACGGGTATATGCAGCCCCTGGAACTCGACACAAAAACACCGTGTCTTACCGGTGAATTTGCCAATGGCTCCGTGTTGCGTATGTAGCTGCATTATCTAATTCCGATGTGAAAAGGAGTTGCCCTGCGCAAGCGCTCAGCAACTGCAAGTGCAACCCAGTCTGCAGATCCACGCGCGTTCGTAGATAGGTTGGCCAAGGGCTTGTTATAGGGTCAGCGGTAGTGATGTCATTTGCCGACTTGGCTTTCGACTCATGACTTGGATCGACCTCCGACCTACGTCGACCAGACATTCTAGTCAGCTGTTGTCATTAACTCCATGTTAGCCTTATTAAGATAAGAGTTTACGCTTCGAACTTCTCTCCCGATTTTTGGTTCGGAATGACAAGTTGGCAGTGAATAACACTCATAGCAAGCGCGTGTAAGTCAATGACTGATCTCATGAACTGTCAGCCGGAATTCTGAAATGCGTTTTTGATTACGAAGGACTACTTAGGTGGGGTTGTAAGATTGATTATCTTAAGGCATGATCCTATAATATCTCGGACTCGCCGGGGTTTGGGCTTTTGAATGCACTTAGTTTTGACCTCCTGGAAAAACTGCGCTCGGTAAAAAATGGCAACTTATGTAGCGTACATTTTTCGCAGTGCCTTTCGATGGCCTTATAAATTCAGGTTTATTTTACAGAAAACATACTAAAACTATGCTTTCCTTAATTTAGTTGATGGCACATCACGTTGACTTAATACATCGTGCTCAAAGAAGTCATATATTTGGTTTGTGATACAGTTTTTCATTCCCGAATAACTGTGAGCCTGATCAGCCGTGCATTGGCTTTCAGCGACTTCGGAATACAAGATGTATGATTTCCGCGTAGAGAAAATCATATATTCCTCTATGCCTTTAAGAAGATATATAGAGGTCATCCATCGCAATTGCGATGGATGTGGCCTCTGTTGTACATTTAGTGAAGAGTATTGGTAGATGGACGGGTAAGACGCTGTAGGAATGGGCGTTGCACGGTCTTAAAAATCTCTCACAGGTAGGAAGTCTGTGAAAACTTTAAGGCACTCATACTTCGAGTATAAAGTGTTGCGCTGACGTAATGTGCTATCAAAAAATAAAGGAAAGCATATTTTGGGCATTTTTCTGTAAGATATGTTTAAATTTATAAGGCCATCAAAAATCGATGCGAAAACGCACGCTACCTAATTTGTAACTTTTTATCGAGCGCCGGTTTCCAAGGAGGCTGAAAAGATGTGCATTTAAAAGCCCACACCCCCCCCCCGAGTCCGAAATATTATAAAATCCTGCCGCAAGATAAACAATATTACAACCCCACTTAAGTAGCCCTTCATAATCACAAACGAATTTTAGAATTACGGCTAGCATGTTATTATATCGCTCCGCCAAATCGATGAGGCATTTGTATGACGTGTGTTTTCATCCCCTTAGGACTGGAAGCTAGCCTTCTAGTGATTGTCAGGTGTCGTCAAAATTAACAGAATATGTTTCATAAAGTAGTCGGGGTATGATTCTAGATAAATGCAGCTGGTTCATTATATGGAAAGCCTTTACACTATAGAATTTCTTACTAGACCAATAGGAGTCCGCTAAACGCACAAGGCAGGCAAGTAACAAAAGGTCCAACGACTGAAGAAGTTACAGTTAATCTTAAAAATTTCAGAATGCACACAGCACGCTAATGACTCTTTCGCCACCATCATTACAGGTGTCAGGCAGCTAACATTTGTATAAGTTATTTTTAAATGGTGAAAATTATGGAAATATAAACCTACGGAGACAGAAAAGTGTTATTATGGTTTGTATTTCCATCAAGAAACGATTGCTACCAATTAGAAACACGGACTGCACCATGTTCAATCTGTGTGACTTACGGCTTGATTCGGTATGCAGAAGAATGCGAACAAGAAGTTTTGCCTTCTGGGAGATTTTAAACGGTGAGGAAGAGGAATCTAAATAAATGGGTCACAAAACAATAAATATGATTCCAGCTCCTTAGCGAGATACAGATAAACCTAAGGATAAGACCGAGGAAAATAAAATGGCCGTTAAATGAGTCTAAATGAGTCCCTGCCAGTGACACTGCAATTTACTCGCTCCTCACAGAAGAACGCGCGAGCAAATCCATTTTGACATTGCTTTCTGTTGTGTTCCTAAAACCCCAAATAACCTCTGGCGCCACCAAAAATGGTGATCTTCACTTAGGACCGTGGAACTCGCTTCCAAGCGAGATGGTGGCGGCTGACACAATTTGTGTGTTTAAAAGAAAACTTGCTCGTCTAGTTTTCGACAGAAATCGGTTTTTACAGCATGACTATGCACAGCCAGTTTTGTAAAAACTGTCATATACGATCCTTCCGCACTAATCTGCAGTGCCCTTATGCACCATCTTATGATTACGATTGAACTGTGACCCGATCACATTGTAAATGTCTGTAATTTTATTTATCAGTACGAATCTGCGAAAGCACTGTACATAAATAGGGTCATCAAGGGCTCTACCTCTAACCCTCCAAATATATACATATAAATTAATTTATTTCGAACATGGGCAACGATAGGTTGTCGGACCTCGAAGGCAAACCAATAACAAATGGACCGTGTCTTACGGCAGTGTTGGTAGGAAGGGTTTTACGGGTGGAAAAGTACGCGCGCAGGATGGATGGTCTAAGGCAACCAAGCGCGGGAAATATTTAAATTTCCATCATAAGACTTAACATGCGTTACTGTATAGCAACAGAAGGTCGGCGCGGTGATTAAAAAGTAAACAAAAGTTAAGTTTTAAAAATTATGGAGTTTGAAAAAACCGTCGATGGTAAGTTTGCAGCCAATCAGGAAGCCAAGAGCATCCCAGCCAATAGGAACGATGTGCGATAACTGATTTTTTCATTCGCACTGTTTTTCGTGTACGCGTATGAGTCATGTGTGAACGATAACGAAACCAAATCAGCCAATCTCTGAACGCAACATGAGGTCGGTGTAATGTAAGTACTCACAACTACCGCTGTACCCCATGACGGTAAATTTAGGCAGATGTTTGAAAGGTAAACTTACGGTAGCATGAGCTTTGTAGTGGTGACTAGCAATGCATATATGCAGAGAATGAAAAATCCAAAGTAAAAAGGCGAAGACGCAGTGAGCAAAGGAAATAACCATTGGAGAAGAGGACTTGTTTTAAGTAAATATTTGTTCCATAAAATCGCAAATAATCAGCCGCAGCAAACGGAGAAACTAAACCCCACAATTTTCGACGTAAAAAATAGAGGCAGAAAGGGAAATTATTAATTCAGAGAAAATTGTGGAGTACTATCAGGAGAGGCGATCACGTCCAATACAGACAAGAGATGAGATTGCAAGTCCGGAAGCACAGTACGGATGGCTGAATATTTGTGTGCACCATGCAGAAAAAAGAGAGCACTTTAAGTAGATCGGTGCCGAGAGAAGCCGATTAGGAAGGGAAACAATTAAAAAAAGGTGGCTGGCATTATTTTGGGCAACACGGGTTAACTAGTGCGAAGAAGATATTGAAGTGCGCCAAACGAAGGCTGTCGAATGTAGTGCCATAATGCAAAATGACTGCACCACGATAGGAACGAAAAAAAACCGGTCAGACGGCACGAACCGAAGTGAAAGTGCCAGATAAGGAAAAGATAAACAGCGAAAGAAAATACAAATTCGCCAGGAATGGACAACGACAGGCAAGAAAAAACATAAAAAGAGAAGAACGGCTTAAAAAAATAAAGGAAAAGGCAAAATGCGTGCATCGCAACAGAAAAAATGGCCGGATGAAGTCATAAAATATATCACCAAATAGAAAAATCCAAAAAAATTTAAAAAAACTAAGACAACGAAAATATCAGAACGACACTGCATGAGATACAACTACCTGCACCAAGAGCAATCAAGCAGAATGCACAAGAGCATCTCATGTTCAGGAACAGCGAAATCAATGCGCTCTCTGTGTGATAGATAAAGATAGATAAATCATTTTAAAATAATGACACATCGGGGTTCCATCAAAGCTCGAAAAAAAGCAGATGTACACCCAAACGGAGTGCACTGTCCTCGCAAATATGTACATGCCGTGGTCGCAGTCGAATGCATCGGGGTTCGCAGGGACACGCACGGCAGCCAATCTGCGACATGCACATCACATGTGACTAAGCAGAATTTGGATGGATGTGCTCATAATGGTGTTGGTGCTTGTGCTGATGATTACGGTGTTGTTGCTCTGAGTGCTGACATTGGCGTTGGCGGTAGTTTTTGTGTTGGTGGTGGTCGTTGTTTTGGTGGTGTTGATATTGGATTTGGTGATGCTGATAGTCGAGCATTTGGTGGTTGCCTTGGCGATGAAATTACTGATGGCGGCCGAGTTGTTGATATTGGTTTTTTGTGATGCTGGCGGTCATGGATTTAGTGTGATCTTTCGTGGTGACATTTCCTTTGATGCTGTGGTGTTCTGTTTGTTTTTATTTTTTTCATTTGACTTTGATGGAGCTGCCCTTCGTGGTTGTGTTTGTGTAGATTCTGGTGGTGGCGCTGTTGGTGGTATTATTTTGTCCTTTCATTCTCATTAATGGCTTTGTTTGCGCTGGTGCCATTGAGGCTTGTGAGAAGCGCACTAGGCCTACCCTTCGAAGTCACTTCGAGCCTAGTCCTCAAAGCCTCTCCCTCTCCCTCTCCCTCGCTCTCTCTCTCTCTCTCTCTCTCACTCACTCACACTCTGTCTCTATCTCCCTCTCTCTTGCTCTCTCTTCATCCCTTCTGTCTCTCCTTCAGTCTTACTGCCTCTCAATCTACCACGGCACCACCACTCATTAGCCAACTTCGCCAAACAGAAGAAGATTCCTTGCACGCATCCCTGCATCCACTTACCTTCCGAGGCAGAGTTCGACGGTGTCGCGTTTGTCGTTGTAGACAACCAGGTAGAGGAGGAAGTTGCAATGGAGGAGACTGGCTGCACTTGGTCGACTGTGGCACCCGATGTCGATGTGAAGACATCAGTGGAGGATTCTAGGAAAGAAAGATGGAATGTATGCTTATCTGCAGCATGCGATCGACACTGCATGAGTTACCACTACCTGCCCCAAGAGCAATCTCGCAGAATGCACAAGAGCATCTCATGTTCAGGATCTGCGACCTCAATCTGCTCTCTGTGTGATGTTGGCCCAATGCAAGTGCACTGTCCTCGCAAATATGTACATGCCGTGGTCGCAGTCGAATGCATCGGGGTTCGCAGGGGCGCGCACGGCTTCCGTTCTGTGTTTTACTTTACCTGCTTCTGTTTTGTATTATTTTGTTAACTCACCTTCTTTTCCTTTTATATTTTTTGTTTTTTTCTGTTTAATTTGGCGCTTCCTCTTTGTACCCGCGCATTTCTCCTTTTATTTTTCTGTTCTTTCCCACAGCTCGCTATAATTTTCTTTCTCTCCTGATTTTCTCTCTTGTTTTTTTAGCCTGTATTCTTACTTCTGTTTTCTTTCTAGTATCTTTTTTTTCTTAGTTTTTCGTACTTCCTGATTTCATTCTTTTTCTCCTCTCATGTATATTTTGAGGACCATTTCTCTTTGTTCTCTTTTTCATATTTTTTGCTGTTCGTTTTGCCAGTGCTATTTTCATGTTTTTCCCAGTTTATATTTTGTAGTCCTGTATATAAGCGGATGTCGCCTCACATTTTTTCCACTGAATTATTTACTGTAATGCTTGTTCTTACTTTGCCGAGGTAAACATTTTCCTGCGAACTCTATATGCTGACCAACTAATACTAGTTGTCTGTCAAACAACGCTTTTTATTTTGTTTTCATTAATTGCGTGAACTTCCTTCCGAAGTTAGTCGTCGCCGATTTAATTAGTCGTTATTATCATTATTATTTTTATTTGTGTAATTTTTTTGTCTTTATTTTTTTTCGTTTTGTCCAATTTTAGTTTTTTTACGGGAAAGTCAAATTATAGACGTTCATTTTGTATCGATAATCTAGGAATAAGTAATAATTACTCCATTCCTGGTGTCCAAATTGTCGACCTTCAAGAGATGACAGATAGTATACTTCCTTGCTGAAGTCGCTGATTCGTGGTAAGTCTGCAAGACCAATGTCCCACTAATTTCTGATTCTTGTGATACCCGTCCTTGAGGCAGTGCTGAACTCCTCGTGGTGATTTATAACCCCTGAGTTCTTGGTTTAAAAAATAATTCAGTAAATTTCAAATTACTTACTTTGGGACTTGAGAATCACTTAAAATGTGTGGCCTATCATATATTGCATTCTGTTTCTGATTTTTAATTTTGCTCTTAGATTTCTTCATTCGTTCGCGGTTAAGGTCATTCTGTGGTGGACCTCTTTAAGATTTTTAACCCCCTATCTGATATTCACTAAAATACTTAGTAAAATTCTATTAATCCGTTCTTAACCTGTACAATTAACAGGAGTAAATCAACACCACTGTACCTGTTTGCGGCTATAGACCAGTTCTTTACTGTGGTAGAAAACTGGAATATATACTTCCCCCTCCCACCACGCGTTACAAGTGGCCATGCACTAAATACCAGATAGGTTAAGGCAATGTAACGTTCTGGATTAGGATTAAAGTCAGGATTCAGTTTAGCCTTAAAGCTAGGGTTAAGGTTTGAGTAGGTTCAGGGCACGGGAGTATATGCCCCTCCTGGAAGTTATCGCAATTGGAGCGTCAAATCTCCATTCCTATAATTCCCAATTCTAGCACCGTGTCTTACGAAGGACGTGATTGTACGCCACGTTCTTAAAATAGACAGAACGCTGTCAACAAACTCCCAAAAACGCCTGCATGTTCACACGCATGGCACTAAATCTGTCGATTACTTCGGGTGCTGCCCACACCATTTTTCGTCAAAGAACCCAATTTAAGATAATTTCCACATAAAGATAAATTACAAAGAATCATATTTCACACCTACCTAGCAGACTTTGTTTCGCTTTGTAACCAGGCCCGTTTCTGGGTGACCGGAAGAAACCCAGGGCGATCTTGGCAAGTGGACTAAATTCCGTCACTCCTAAAGATTTTAAATCAAAAAACAATTCGGTTTTTTAGAGTTGAGCAGCAAGTACGATAAAGATACTTCGGAAAAGCTTCACCTTTAACTTTGTCAATGATTCTATACAGGAATGCCTCCTGCTCTGGTTCTGCTAGGCCTTCCTGTTGCAAATCTACAGCTGACAGAATCGAATCCTCCTTCAATGCCGCCTTCACATCATCGTCGATCTTCATGGTGTCCAGTTTCTCAAAGAAATCTAAAACGGATAACGGAAGTCATCGCGTGAAACGGACTTTGGTTGGTAAAAGTTATGTCCTACACAGCACCTCCGGTCAAGTCATTTAAAAAGTACTGGGAGGTAGCTCCCTACCTACCTACCTACCTACAACAACTACCTATTCAAACTTTGCTGATGAACCACCCAGTTATGATTTAACGACCTAGGTGACTTCTACGGCAAGAATCCTCCGTAAAACAGCAATCGCCTGTTAGCTATGTGGTCTTGCTTAACCTAAGCCGACATTCCTAAATCTGTAGTTCAACTGCGATTGTTCCGAAATGTCTTTGGAATTTAGAAGTTGGAATCAGATTGAAGTATCTGCTGCATCAGCATTTAGTTCAATTTAGTTTATTGAAGACAGATAGACATGAGCCTTTGAGTACACTATTTGCAACGGAAAATTGGGTGTTATGCACAGAGAGATCATATGGCCTTGAATAATAAAAGCTTGATCGTGACTCTGATGGGTCGAGCTCAATATCCTATCCCTCAGACTCATTCTGAATCATAAATCTGTCGGTCTACCTTTTAAAACCTTCCATTGGTAGTGACATCATGGCTTGGTCACTGACTGAGATGAAGAACATCCGCACATCTAGCCTTGCCTGCTGAATGGCGACGTCAGAGGTCGGTCGTGGTAGCAAATTCAAGAACGGTGTCAAAGGTCAGACTGTAGTTCAAGCACTTCGCAATACTGAATGCTGGTAAAGGATTCCCAAGAATTTGCTAATAGATCAAAAGAAAAGGACTAGGGTCCTCAGAAGACCAGTTAGCATGCATACGCTTACTTACGCTAAATTCTCGTCAGGCCGGTACGTTTGTGCGGGAAAGGGGTCAAGTAAAATATGTCAGTGATTAAAGAAATCGATTACAGTTCGTCATAAAACACAGGCAGGGCGTGGGAATATGTGGTGGAGGGTAATAAGAGTCAGTACCAGGGGGTGAGAGTGGAAGGTTGCGGAGAGTTGCATGCAGTTAGTCGACCTTTGACCACCGTAAGCGTGGACCATGATCGAGGTTCTTCTGCGCGCACAAGGCCGGCTTTCATGACCTGATAGTGGGCGCTTTTGCTGTCGCTAATAAACGCTGGATTAGTAGCTTAGGGGAAGCTAAGTGGGACCTTTTAAATCACCCTAAAAACTTCGATGGCGTCCACACAATGTCCCGAATCAATGCGTGCGTAAATAGCCCTGCTTATGACCCCAATTTCCCCTATTCTCAGCCATGCTGTGAGGTATTCTCGCACTCTTTTGAATAGGTGCTGACTGGTGCGGCCAGGATAACCTGCTCCACTAGAGCAAGTGAAGGAGTAATGTACATTTAGATGGTTTTGGGTGGCAACCTATCCTTATCTTCCCGGCGTAAAATAGGGTTAGTAGACAATAATATTCGAACCCTTGCTGCTCAGAAGATTCGTGAGAAATCTTGATCAAGGCGCCCTCTTAGGAGTCCGCACGCAGTATCCCCTTGAAAGAGGATTTGAAAGAACAGGGCTTTCTTCCTAGTAGTGAGCGGGGTGGGTTTCTCTGGACACTCGGCATTGATCTTCGAAATAAACCTATCTGATAGTCCATTTCGCAAGGCAAGTCCTGGTCGTTCTAAGCTCCTCCTCGATGCTGCCCGCCTAACAAATTTTAAACCCCTTTTGCCGAATGCCGAACTAGATTTCGTTTTTATTGGAGGGACACGAAGCTGCCAAAGTTGATATAATGATCAGACCAGGTTTCCATATACTCACTATCAGACTCTGTAGACCGTCAGGTGATGGGACAACCTCTCCGTGGGAAAACTGCCGTCTAAGATATGTCGTCAAGATGCTTTTAGAAAACAGTGATCGAGATATCTTTCTAACTTCCTCTCATATCTACGGGTAAGCAGTGCTTAATCAGGACAAAACAGCTCCGATGAATGGCATGTGCTGAAGCTCTTGGTTATCTCTAATTGAGATGAGTAAATCCAAAGACCTCCACAGCGACTTGAATCAGAGGCCACTATTGGTTGCGTTTGAATGCCGTCCCGCCTCTGAGCACGTTCCAGAGTTCAGAGTCTGGATTTTAAAATGGCATTTTCAAGCCATTCGGAGCGAAAAGGACGTTACGCTCGCTCTGAAAATTCGACCAGCGCATCCGACGATGTCCACTGTGTGCTCCACAGTAAGATAAAGTAGGCGCAGCGACTTTCGCGTGAATTAGTTCAAAGCGATTGTAGACTTGCGCGACATCTACCGCACTTTCTCCTTCCCACCTGGGTCCGGCTTCAAAACGGTCAAGAAGACCGAGGCAGGATGGGTGCAGGTGGACGGTGCGGCGAACCCGCACCTTGGTTCTCCAATCCACACTCTCTGGTCCACAACATACACTTGACCAGAATTTTAACCAACAGCGACGACGACAACAACAAAAAAGACGTGGATGGCTGAGCAGCCATGCCCACGACCCGCATACCTATCGGGAGCACAGGCGCATCTACCCCCAGTTAACCACATACCGGCGAACTGCCAGTACACACCAGGCTGGCAGGGCCATGGTCTGCTGAAACGTGGCATAGCTGACGCTCACAAACCTTGGAGCTCAGAAGGGTGACACACAACCCCGAATTTGCCTGGGCCATCACCCTTCAGAGGGGGTAACCAGTCAGTCAGCGACTGAAAGGCACTTCCCGTTACACACACATGTGCGTATACGAGCGCAATTAAAAACTAATATACGCAATTGGACACACTGTCTGGAAGTCAAATAACGGAATGATTATCAAGCCAATTACAAACAACGAAGATGAAATCGCCTCAAATAAGGCCATTCACCTGGTGGCTGAGCAAGCCCTTATCGTGCCAACTAAAAACACAGGCGATTCATGCGGAGCTGCTACTTTTCGCCGTCATGTGGCTTCGTGGTAACTACACCCCGTAAGTACTGTGCGCCCTGTGAGTCCACCACCTGCGTCTGTTGTTGTCCTTGATGCTGGCTTCGGACATAAGTCCGAAACGTCGTGCGAGTCAAATTTGATAAAACACGGGAACAAGAATCCTCCGTACCATACGTGGCCTTGCGCAAAATTGTGGGAAGGGTACACATACCCGTGTCCTAACTCTAGCCCTAAAATTAACCCTAAAAGTGACACTAACTTTAATTTCCCTGGAAATTAGCGAATTCCCCCCCTCCGCCCCGGAGTAGGGAGTTTTCACGTCAACATCTTAACGTAAATTCTTCCTCAACTACTACGGATACTCGCCTTTCGGTTTTTATCAAGAATGCGGAGATTGAGTATTTGTGCGATGAAAACTCACCTTGCAAAATGTTTTCAAGCGATCGAAGGCCATCCTTGCCCCTGTGGACATCATTCATTATCGAGTTGGCCAAGGTTGTAAGTGCCTCTCTAGCAGCGTCATCGCCTAAGTCAAAAAGTGCCAGTCAATTTTTCTTTGCAGTGGCTCGGTGAATTTTAAATTCTTACAATAAAAGTCCATGTAACAGTTTATAGAAGGGATTTGAACCGTTCTGGTTGTTTGAACTCCCAAGTTACTGCAGCGCGTCCACTAAACTTTCTAACGAAAGCGCCAAGTTGGGCGCAAGTGTCTTTACAATACATCTGACAACTCACCTATAATAAGAGTGTCGCTTACTTACATGCCAAGTTCAAAGACGTGGTCAATATTCTGTTTTGAGAATGTATACCGTAACGGAAACGTCTGAATTCTCCGTGTGCCTTGGATATGGATTTGGCTATAATTTCTTTTACCGCAGGGTGTAGTTAAGTCATTCCGCAACAACGCATTTAAATGGAACACCATGAAATACGGCGTTCAATTGTCTCGCTTTAGATGCAAGCACATTAACTTCTTATTGTTGCCTCCTGTCTTCTCTGAAGGCTAAAGGAACGGCGTTCGTCCAATAGTACGTGCAAGCAAGTGTCTCTAGTGTCCTTCCAAACGCCAGCGTTCAAATTCTGACCATTTATCAGGTTACCTAGAGGAAACATTTCCCAAAGCCAAAAAGGTTGTTACTATTAATATTTTTCGCTTGGATTGGCATGTGTTCCAACAAGTATTAATTTGAAGTGGTCATAAGCCTTTTCCTACATGACCGTCAGAGCTAGAGAAAAACGTCTGAATGCCTTCCAGGCAAAAATTCGGATCCACGCCTTTACGCGGGTGGTGTGCTTATGTATCTCCTTCATTTGACGGATCAAAATCATGCTTCTATCTAAAGTTAACGGACAAAAGCGGAATTATTCCGGCTTTCGCCAGCCAGATCGAGAAGTTGCATAGAAAAATTCGCTCTTCAGAATTTCTGTGGATGAGCCAACGAGCTAAAAATATATCTGGACGAAAAGCTTGCTCAAATGTGGACTGGCAAAATCAATATAATCACCACTAAAACTGCTTCAATACAGTTTCTCTTATAGAATGACGAAACTTCGTCCATCTCCTCATCTCTGACAAGACTTGTGAAGTCGACGGCGGATTTGCTCGATGTGGTCGCCAACGTATTCGTGTTTTAGTCTTCTACGTGACTTTACCTACGACGTTGAGTGGCCTGACCCATAATCGACAATTGCCACTTCCTGAGAAGCCTTTAGCAGTTGGCCTTATAGGGGAAGGTAGTAGATTATGGCCCGTTACCGTGGGTTGTCCATAAGAACACCTTGCTAGCTTCTGAAATACACTAGAGGAGAGCGGAAATTCCCGCTTAGTTCGAAGTTTCTCTTTGTTCGGCAGAAATGTGAAACGACTTCTGCTAATTCATTCGACCCAGTTGTGAAAACCCAGCGACATCGGTAGGCTTCGAGCCCTCAACAGCGCGTAAAATATCTCGGTACAGCCAAAGCTGTAACCACTTGAGATACGAGGTCTCACCGGGAATCGTAAATTTATTTGCATCTGGGTCAAGTTACCTGCCGAACCTGCTGCAACCTATGGGACCCACCAATCATCATGCGGTAGGCTGACTGCCCAATCAGAATTTTCCAAGGAACCAATCTGGAATCCACCAGATGAATACCAGGTTCAGTCAACGGACAGGTTTTTCGGTTATTCTTTCGCTCCAAAATCCTCCAGAGGAGGGACATTTTTGAAACTAGTCAACCAGAAAAACAGTTACTCCCTTTAGAAAAGGCTTACCTTCAAGCCTTTTATCCAGCATGGCTTTGAGCTTTCGTAGGACGTCTAGCTGCAGCTCTACCTCTTTTTCGTCGAGCCCTTGATAGTCGATAACTGAAAATATAAGTTACGGGTGCTTGACAAAGCCCGCCAGAAAAACGCGCTACTACGAAGCTTCAAAATCTCAGGCAACCTGGTCTTATTAGCACATATTACTAAGTTTGAAAGGTGGGGACTTTTGGTCAGTGAAGAAAGGATGCAGAAGAAAAATGTAAAGGAGAGTGCATTTGGTTAATTAAAATAATGTTAATGATTATGAGGTAAGCTATGAAATGCAGCCTCTAAAAAGGACAGAAACTGTCCACGACGTCATAACGAATGACTGATTTTTCGGCTTCTGTACGCCAGCCTTCTTATGGTCACGCTGGCAAACTGTACACCAGCATTTCCTGCCTGCTAGATCAGACAGTCTACTCCCGCAGTCACGAGTGTGTCCGCTTTCACCAACCGTCTCTTATCCACTTACCATCCCTGCGTGGAACAACCACTCGACGCAGCGGCAAAATGGGGGCATCCGACATTTTGGTCTTCGCTGATTTGCTAGACATGAACGGCTCAGTAGTCCGCTCACACCTCATGCCGTAGTTGACAGAGACAATAGCTGACTCTGACTATTATGAAACAGTTGCTGTCACTGCCTTAGGTCCTGTCAGTCCTGTCGTCCCGATGTTTTATTTGGGAAACTCCCCGTAGTCCACCATCTCACCCTATCGGCGTGATCCAAGAACGCAACATTCAGTAAAAATCTGTTGTTATTTACTGCATCGATTTGGATTCCCTACCTCTTTACATGAAAACCTGATGCGTTATGTGGAGACCAGGTCGTGCGTGGCACGCCTAGACGGACCCTTATGTTCTGTCATCCACCTGCGCCAAATTCCTACATCAGCTGACTGATCGGCTCTGACTTATGTCTAGGTGAGAGAAGAGAGAGCGAGGTCGACTCTGTTTGCGAGATACCCAGCAGGTATCCCTCATTATAACCAAAGTAACGCGCTTCAATCTATCACAGCGCATTAAGCGTCCTGAGTTCAAAAGTTGCCTACTGACGATATAACTCACACAACGCAGTTAGCCCTGTGTGTGTCTGCGTGAGGTGGTCGGTTGGAGGAATTCGAGTACGGCTCAAGGGCTTCTTTTTAACATGCCCCTATGACACTCTCGGGCATTTTAAATCCGAGCCGCCCACCCCCTTTGTGTGGAAACCCAGAGTGTGTGTTGTGCAGGAGGCCAGGTCGTGTCTGGCACGCGCAGACGGCTGTGTAGGTGTGCCAGCAACTGCGCCAAATCCCCACATCAGTTGATTAACTGGCGCGAACCGTGGACTGGTGTTTGGAAGAGGAAAGAACGAGGGAGGTCGACCATGAAGACTCCGTCCCCGTGGCCTTCAGTCCCCAGCACTCTCTATAAATAATCTGACACACATTTAAACTATCACGGTGCACTAGAAGTCGTAGCCTGAGAGGCTGTCTACTGATTAGATAAATCGGTTCTCCTCTGAAGACAGAGTCGCAGCCTGCAATAAATTCTCCTAAATAGGGCTTTTATGACAACCACACTCAGCTGGGATCTGAGGCGTCTAGTTACTGCTTCTGGAGACACAGGTCATTTGTGCGCGGACCAGGCGTGTGTGGTATGCGCGGAAGTGCTGTTGCGTCTAGTCAGTCATTGTATCCGATCTCGCCTGGGGTTTTCCTGATTCTATTTTGACACCGGGCTCAGGTGTGTGCGGGAGGAGAGAGAGAGAGAGCGGCAGATGTTGCGCAAGTCTACGACTTCTACAAATTAATTCACGCGCGTGTCACCGTACCTGCGCTCGCTATGCTGAGGGTATGTAGCGGGCAGCCATCATGACCGGTCTGGAGTCGTTGTTCGAGGCCTCGCTGCCTCAAGGTCATTCAGCCTTTTGCTGTGAGCCGTTCCAGACGCGCTGACCTAAAGTCACACGACCGACAGCTGGGGCATACCTGCGTCGGCACAGCCGCAGTTGCCCATGCGGACACTTGAACGCACCCCACCCACTGCAACCAGCAAAACAAGCCACTGGGACACCATCCTTCGGCAAATGTAGCACACACTGGCTGGACACCACTGAAGCTTGGCCCACGAGCCTACAAAAGTGGCTGCCACCACTGTCCGAGGGACTCTCAGGCATGACTGGACGCAGTCAACGCCAGCCCTGACTTCGCCAGTGGCCACTGCCGCCTGAGAGGACAACTCCGGGTTCTGTGCACAATAAACCCCTCATTCTGATGCCTTCTGTCTTCTCCTTCAAACATGGGATTTGGCCTGACGATAGTAGCGCTCTGAGTACAGACATACCCATTCACACCGCCTGGTCTCAACAAAGTGATGAATGACCTTGAGGCAGCGAGGTCTTGAAAAATGACCTCAGATCGGTCATTATGGTTGCTCGCTACAGGTACACGGTGAACTTCGTCGTGGGCGACAGTCGAGCAGTCAATCTTTATTTAAAATCTTTGTATCATTAGGACTGTCTGCTTACTTGTCCTGCAATCTAGCACTGTGTGAATATTGGAGTTAGTTCCCCGTTTACTAACTATCAAATAAGAAAGGGGAAACTGTGAGCAGGTTCGGTAATAATAGTTGTTTTTGAAGGCCACTTTATGCACGAAGTTTGTGACTTGGCAAGCTCAAGTGTCACCATTCCGCAAGTAAACCGGCTGCGCTGAAAAAATCCATTACCAATTGTGCGAGACGATAAAGCACACACGTGCATCCTGACCTACTAGTACTCAATTTTATTACAGTTTCAGAGCAGAAATGGTTTGGAAACTGACCTTTCCCACCACATTGAGCAAAACATTACTTGAAGAGCTTGAAGTTTGTCAGCAACATTACCAACGCACTGCAGTTTAAATATCCCCCATAGTATTAGAAGCCGCTACCTCATACAGTTGATGGGCTAACTCATGAAATGTCAATTGAAATTTCGAAATGCGTTTTCGTTTCAAAAAGATTAATTAAGTGGGGTTGCAAAACTAATCAGTTTGCAACATAATTATATAATATTTTAGTTACCTCAGAATGCCGGCTTCCGAATGTACTTCCTTCCGGCTGCATGCAAAAACTACACTCTGTAACAAATGGCTACATACGTAGCAGGAATTTTTCTCATTGATTTTCTATGCCCCTAAAAGTCCAACTATATTTCATGGAAAACGGCATAAAAATGTTCATTCTTTTACTCATTTGGTAGACAATTACGTCTTCATCCAACGTTACACCCGAAGGATGGATATAATTCGGCTTTCAAAAACTTTTCCAATTCCCGAATAATTTTGAACCCGCTCTATGCAGCATGAAATTTTCTCATTTGTTTTCGGTACCCTTAAAGATTCAACAATATTTCATGGAGAACATGAATAAATATATTCATTCTTTTGCTCATTCGGTAGATAATTACGTCTTCTTTTGATTTTATGCTCGAAGGAGGGACATAACTCGGTTTTAAAAAGTTTCCAATTTCGAGACTTTAATAGCGTGAAATGGCAGTTCATAAAACGCCATGTCTCTGCATTTACGAATGCGGCTTGTTAAGTTAACAATATGGATCAAATCCAACGCTAAATTTTATGAAACCCACATGGTCTCCTGTTAATACCGCAGAGAAATGTGTTGTTTTTCGTAGGTGGAAAATACATGGCCTGTAGTTTGGAAACCCTGAATGCAAGTGTGACGGCAGAGCGGGTTCAAACTTATTCGGGAATTGGAAACGTTTTTGAAAACCGAATAATACCCTTCCTTCAGTATAAAATTGGATGGAGATGTAATGTTCTGCCGAATGAGCTGGAGAATGAATATATTTATGCATGTTTTCTATGAAATACAATTGAATTTTTAGGGGCATCGAAAATCAATGAGAAAAGTGCATGCTACATAAGTAGTCGATTTTTACAGAGTGTAGTTTTTGCATGCAGTCGGAAAAAAGTTCATTCGAAAGCTGGCATCCTGGGGTAACTGAATTATTATAGAATTATACTGCCAACTGATTACTTTTACAACCACATTTAATTAATCTTTTCGAGACGAAAACGAATTTCAGAATTTCGGTTGACATTTCATAAGTCAGCCAACCTACTGTATTTAACCCCGTTTTACAGATAGAAATATTAGTAAATAAGACTTTCGATAGGTTGACATTTGAATAATGAGTAACAGTTGGAGGTCAACTTTGCAGAAAAGATATGCGTCGTCCAGTAACATGAGCAAGCATTTTTTCGTAAAACGTCAGCGGAAGGTCTCCTGAAAACATGCTACCCATATAGGAGGCTCTAGGAAATTAGGGAGCCATGTGAAATTTTCGAAATTATACAACTTCGCACTATCTGATAAAAGGAATATAATTCGTGCGCTGTTGGGCCAAAGATACGAAAGTGACGGTTAAGGTGCTCGGGAAGAGAAAGAAGTTATAACAAGTTACAGTAGGTGTGCTAACTCATGAAACGTTGACCGAAATTCTGAAACGCGTTTTCATTTCGAAAAGCTTACTTAAGAAGGGTTTCAAATTAATAATTGTGCGGAATAACTCTATAATAATTCAGATGCCCTAAAATGCAGTTTTCGAATGAACTTCTTTCCAGCCGCATGCAAAAACTACATTCTGTAAAAAATGATCACTTAATTAGCATGAATTTCTTCCAATGAATTTCGGTGCCCTTGAAAACTCAGTTATATTTCATGGTAAGCATACACAAAATATTCATTCTTTTACTCATTCGGTGGAAAATTATGTGTTCTTTCAATGTTTTACTTGAAAGGATGGTATTATTTGGTTTTAAAAAGTTCCTATTTATGAAATTTTTATTACCGTGAAGTGTCTGTTCACAAAGCATCGTGTTTCTGCATTTATTGATGTTGCTTGTAAAGTTTAAAATATGGCTCAAATCCACTGCTAAATTTTATGAACTCCTGATTGTTTCCCTTTAATGCTGTAGAGAAATGCGTGGTTTTTTGTGCACGGAAAATATACAGCTTGCAGTTTGAAACCCTGAATACAAGTGTAACGGCAGGTCGGGTTCAAAATTATTCAGGAATTAAAGTTTGGTAAAACCGAATTATATGCTTCTGTCAAGTATAAAATTGAAAGATGTAATTACCTACCGAATGAGTAAAGGACAAAATATTTTTACGCATTCCTACCATGAAATATAACTGAATTTTTAAGTGCATCAAAATTCCGTGAGAAAATATGTCGCTTTGCGCCAACCCATGTGACCGACAAGCATGTATGTATTATCCTCGTGAAGTGGATAAAAAGGAACCTGTTTTGTTTCTTTCATAGGGCTCCCTTGCCCGCGACAAAAGTCGCCCCGTTACTTACTTTCCTGCAACAGTGGGCAATGGGGTTCAAAAGCTTGAAATCATATTGGGCAAAAATGTACTTCTTAACCCGACACGTTGCCTGGAACGGAATGCATGTGCCATCATCGAGGCCACATGTGGCGTCTAGAAAGAGTGAAACTATGCAAAGGACTCGTGGTAATTCGCTTTAAAATTA